AGATATTTAGTATCTATGAATTCCCAATCTAAGTTTCTGAGATTGGTGTAACTGACAGGCATCCCTAAATATTTGATGGGGAAGCTGCCCACCTCGCAATGGAATAAGTTTGCATACATATTCACCACATTATCATCACCCCCCACAGTAAGAATCTCGCTTTTCTGAAAATTCACCTTAAGCCCTGACATCAATTCAAACATATAAAGAAGCATTTTCAAGTTAACAGCTTTGCCAATGTCATGCTCCAGGCATATGATGGTATCGTCCGCATATTGGAGAACTGCTACCCCATTAGGAATTAGATCAGAGGCCAGACCCACTAACAGGCCACTTTTTTGGGCATTTGTAATCATTTTTGCTAAACAATCCACAGCTAGATTGAACAAGAAAGGGGAATGGGGATCACCTTGCCGAACCCCTTTCGCACTTTGGAAATAGGGGCCAACTTGGTTATTCAACTTAATGCTCACAGTCCCATTATGCAGGATACTCCTAATCCACCCGCACCATTTATCATTAAAGCCTTCTCAAAATCAAGTTTCAGAACTACACCCACCCTCTTTTTCACATGATTGTAGTTAAGGATCTCATGCAAAGACATCACACCATCCATGATGTTCCTTTTTTTCACGAAAGCATTCTGGGCCCTATTGATGAGCTTATCAGCATATTTTTCAACTCACCTATCTAGGACCTTAGTAATAAGTTTGTACGGACACCTCAGGAGGCAAATCGGGCGGAACTGCTGAATCTTGTCTGCGTCCGCAGTTTTGGGGAGGAGAGCAATCACACCATAATTGAGGCGTTGTACATCCAGTTCCCCTTTATGAAAGTGTTCAAACAGGAGCATAATATCATCCTTCATGATATCCCAGCACACGTGATAGAACTCCACAGGAATGTTGTCCGGCCCAGGTGCTCTATTGTGTGCCATAGCAAACAGAGCTTCCTTAACTTCTGTCTCCGTAAAGGCCCGACACAGATCAGCGTTATCCTCTTCATCAAGTTTTTCATTAGTGGTCCAAGTATCAGGATCCATATGGAACTCATTGCCGGGTGCTGGACCGAAAAGGTTTTTGTAGAACTCTGTCGCATGGGCAATCAGATTATTAGTCCCTTCTATTTCCACATCCCCAGCTTTCAGGGAATGGATCGTGTTTTTCCTCTTACGCCCGTTCGCAATCTTATGATAGTAGTCAGTATTAAGATCTCCTTTCAGTAGCCATCTTTCATGAGACTGCTGCAACCAAAAGATCTCTTCGTTCACTAGGAGCTCATGCAGTTCCGCACTAACATCAACCTTGATGCTATACATCTCAGGGGACAGGGGGGCATTTTTATACACAATTTACATAATGGAGGCAGCTCCAAAACCAAGCAGGTGCAGGGAATCCTGGGACTGAATTAAGGGGGATAAGCAACAGGAAGACCAGCCAAATCTACAAGATACCAGCACATATCTAATTAAAAATTTAG